GCCAATGGCCCATCCAGTCCAACACTCTGTGTCACACAGTGGCCAGAAATACCAGGTGCCCTCAGGAGGTCCAGCAGTGGGGCCAGGACACCAGAACCCCTCCCACTCTTGCCCTCCCCCCAAACACCAAGAAGACAGAGCATGCCTTGCCCCAGACTGAGAGTTCCTGTCTATACCTTGTGGCTAATAGCCACTGATGGACCTCTGCTCCATATGCTTATCTAATTCCCTCTTGAAGCCGTCCATGCTTGTAGCCACCACCACCTCCTGTGGCAGGGAATCCCATGCGTTAATCACTCTTTGGGTGAAGAAGGACTTCCTTTTAACAGTTCTAACCCGACCGCTCAGCAATTTCCTGGAGTGCCCACGAGTTCTTGTCTTGTGAGAAAGGGAGAAAAGGACCTCTTTCTCTACCTGCTCTATCCCGTGAATAATCTTGTCAACCTCGATCGTGTCACCCTTCAGCCGTCGTTATCTCCAGGCTAAAGAGTGCTTTTTCACAGTGTATTTTGTCTTCTTGGTAACCTCCAGGTGGTGGCTGGAGACCTCCTGGGACTGCAACCCATCTCCAGGTGACAGAGATCGGTCCACCTGGAGAAAACAGCCACTCCAGAAGGTGGACTGTATGACATTATACCCTACGGAAGCCCCTCCCCTCTCCTCCCCAAACCCCGCCCTTCTCAGGCTCCGCCCCCAAATCTCCAGGTATTTCCCAACTTGGAGATGGCAACTCTACCTTTGAGTGTTGCACAGACACATTTTGGACTATGCTTGCAAGGAGACCCTGGCTGCCATCTTAAGGACACTTTCTCGGGAGGAAGAGCCACCGAATAAGCTGGGGCTTACTTCTGAGTAGACCTGCTTAGGCTCCCCCCCCCCCAGGGTTTTCAACTCTGGAAGGATGGCCAACAACCCCCTTTTCTTAGGAGCCTCTCTTGGACCGGATTTCTCAAGAGACAAAGGGACCTCCCCTTGTTTTGCTTCACTCACCTTCGGCAGGCGCCGTGGGCGGCACAGCGGCTGAGCGGGACTCGCGCCACGCAGCTGGAGAAGGCCACGTAGAGGGCGTGGTTGGCTTTGTCCAGCTCCAACCCCAAGATCCGCCGATCTTCCTTCTTGACGTTACACCTGGAAACAGGGGAAGGGGAAAGCAAGTGAACCTCACCCTGGCATTTCAGGCGCTTCCCTGCTGAGACGAGAGGTGCTCTGCTTCGTTTTCTACTGGGCTCCCAACAAGGAAATGCAGCCTCAATTTGCCCCAGGGCCGTGCAGGGGAGGGAGGGGGTTAACCCTTCAACTCTCACTGTGTTTCACTATTCAAAATCAGCTTCCTGCTCTACTTTCAGAAGAAGAAGAAGAAGAGGAGATTGGATTTATACCCCGCCCTTCACTCTGAGTGGCTTACAAACTCCTTTCCCTTCCTCTCCCCACAACAGACACCCTGTGAGGTAGGTGGGGCTGAGAGAGCTCTGACAGAACTATGGCTTGCCCAAGGTCATCCAGCAGCTGCAGATCAGAGTCCGTGCACTTCACTACACCAAACTGGCTTTCAGAGATTAGCTGCCTTGCTTTGCAGTACAATTGCTACATTAAAGTGCAGTAAGGAAGGAGGAAAAGGAGGAGGAGGAGGAGGAGGAGGACAGTTAGATTTATACCCCGCCCTTCACTTGGAGTCTCAGAGAGGCTGCCAATCTCCTTCCCCTTCCCCTCCCCACAACAGACACCCTGTGAGGTAGGTGGGGCTGAAAGAGCTCTCCCGAAAACTGCCCCTGAGAAAACAGCTCTGAGAGAACTTGTGACTGACCCAAGGTCACACCAGCAGTGGCATGTGGAGGAGTGGGGAATCAAACCTGGTTCTCCCAGATTAGAGCCCGCGCTCTTAATGACTACATCAAACCGGCTCTCCGAGCAGCTCTCCGAGCAGCCTTCTCTTTCTCTCCCCACAACAGACACCCTGTGAGGTAGGCGGGGCTGACAGTTCTTTGGAGGACTGCTTGTGAGAGAACAGCTTTGAGAGAACTTGTGACTGACCTAAGATCACCCAGTTGGCTTCATGTGGAGGAGGAGTAGGGAATCAAACTCAGTTCTCCAGATTAGAGTCCACCACTCTGAACGACTACACCAAATACCGGACGAAGAGACCTTTGACTCTCAAAAGTTTATACCCCAAAAAAACCTTGTTGGCCTCTAAGCCGCTCCTGGATTTGGATCTAGCTGTCCCTACGCTGCTGCTAGCTTTTTAAAGGAGAGAAAAAAATGTTCTCTAAAAATAAACGTCTACAATTAGAAAACTGTCACCCCGGTCTGTCTTTTCTCGGATGTCAGTTTGCGGAACAATCCCTCAGGATCCATCCCAAGCACACAACAGGTCAATCCTTCTCAGCGAGCAAACTCCCAGAGTTCCCTGGGAGGAACCCATGACAGGTGGGATAAACTTTGCCGTGGAGTTTCTTTATCTAGGATTGCTGCCTGTTTGGTGTAGTAGTTAAGTGCGTGGACTCTAATCTGGGAGAACCGGGTTGATTCCCCAGTCCTCCACTTGCAGCTGCTGGATGACCTTGGGCAAGCCACAGTTCTGTCAGAGCTGTTCTTGAAAAAGAGCAGTTTCTCTCAGAGCTCTCTCAGCCCCACCGACCTCACAGGGTGTCTGTTGTGGGGAGGGGAAGGGAAAGGAGTTTGTAAACCGCTCTGAGACACCTTTGGGAAGTGAAGGGCGGGGTATAAATCCAATCTCTTCTTCTTCTTCTTTCTCAAGGGCAGCTTGCAACGTAAGGGACGGTAAGATTTATAAAGCATTAAAATTCACAAATCATTAAAAACCCTGTTGTGATGATCCAGATTTTATTCGCATTGCAAAACAAAGCAGAGGGAGGAATCGGAACGAGTACAGGAAATGACACCCAGGAACAATGGACAAGCTATCCAGAGCTCAAGATACAGGGAAAGTTGACTGACTGCAAAACAGCAGTATTCTTGCTGGGTTAAAAACACGTGTCCTCCCCGAAGAGCCGACTGACCCAATTACCCATTCCACAGTGTTTATTTTGGTTTAATATTTCTCTCCACAATCGTGTTGGCGAGAACTGCTGAGAACACTCGGCAGCCTTTAACCCTCCAGTAAAGAGAACAGGGCTTGCGCCAGGTATTTCGTTGCCCCAGGCAAGAAGAAGAAGAAGAAGAAGAAGAAGAAGAAGAAGAAGAAGAAGAAGAAGAAGAAGAAGAAGAAGAAGAAGAAGAAGAAGAAGAAGAAGAGGAGGAGGAGATGGGATTTATATCCTGCCCTTCACTCAGAGTCTCAGAGCGCCTTACAATCTTTTCCCTTCCCCTCCCCACAGCGGACACCCTGTGAGGTAGGCGGGGCTGAGAGAGCTCTTTCCAGAACTGTCAGTTTGGTGTCGTGGTTAAGTGCGCAAACTCTAATCTGGGAGAACCGGGTTTGATTCCCCACTCCTCCACTTGCAGCTGCTGGATGACCTTGGGCAAGCCATAGTTCTGATAAGAGCTGTTCTTGAAAAAAGGGCAGTTTCTGTCAAGAGCTCTCCCAGCCCCACCGACCTCACAGGGTGTCTGTTGTGGGGAGGGGAAAGGAAAGGAGTTTGTAAGCTGCTCTGAGACTCCCTTGGGTAGTGAAGGGCGGGGTGTAAATCCAATCTCCTCCTCCTCCTCCTCCACATGCAGCTGCTGGGGTGACTTTGGGTCGGTCACAAGTTCTCTCAGAGCTGTTTTCTCAAGAGCAGTCCTCAAGAGAGCTCTCTCAGCCCCACCTACCTCACAGGGTGTCTGTTGTGGGAAGGGAAAGGAGTTTGTAAGCCGCTCTGAGACACCTTTGGGTAGTGAAGGGCGGGGTATAAATCCAATCTCCTCCTCCTCCTCTTCTCCTCCTCCTCTTAAGATGCTTTGCATGCCAAGGCAACTGCTGATATCCAGAGTAAGTACCTAAAGGGCTTTGCTTCCTTTGGGGGCGCACATTCCTTCCTTCCGCTCCACAAAAACGGTTTGGCAAATACCTGGAAAACCCCATAAGGTCCATCCGTGTCATGGCGCAAAGACAGGCGCCTCCAGGAGTGATTTTAGGGGGTGGCAGCCAGTCTCCCGTCCCCTCCCAAAGCATTCTTTGCTCCCACTCAAGATTGGGTTGCCAACCTCCAGGTGGGGCCTGGGGATCCCCTGGGATTACAACTGATTTCCAGAGAGCAGAGATCAGTTCCCCTGGAGCAAACGACTGCTTCGGAAGGTGGGCTCTGTGGCATTAGACCTCGCTGAGGTCCCTCCCCCGCCCCAGTCCCTGCCTGTCTCAAGCTCCACCCCCTAATCTCCAGGAATCTCCCAACCGACTAAGGAGCCAGAACCAAGGTCACAGAATCATAGAGTGGGAAGCAATGTTCCCTCTAAGCTGTGGAGTCTTGTGAGCAAACATTCTGCTTTGTAAGCTACTGACATTAAAGTTGTGAAAGAGCGATTCGGGTGCTGCATAAATTAGTTTGCTCAGGAGCCATCCCTTCCTGAGCGAAGACAAAAAATCTGTGAGCCGGGGGCTAAAAAACTGTGAGCCGGCTCACACTGACTCAGCTTAGAGGGAACACTGGTGGGAAGGGACCTCCAGGGTCATCTAGTCTGACCCCCTGCACAAGACAGGGAATTCACAAATACCTCCCCCCACCCAAACCCGTAGTGACCCCCATTCCACATCCAGAAGATGACAAAAAAAACCTCCAGGATCTCCAGCCAAAATGGCCTGGAGAAAAATGGCTTCCTGACCCCAAAGTGGCGATCGGCATTTCCCTGGGCGTGTACGAAAGGGCCACGAGAACTAAGCACTGAGGCAACCCTTCCTGCCCCTCCCTCTCATGATCTGCCTCAGTTCACAGAATCCGCATTGCTGTCAGACGGCCACCTAGCCTCTGTCTGAAAACCTCCAAAGAAGGAGAGCCCACCACCTCCCGAGGAAGCCTATCGCTCTGTCAGGAAGTTCTTCCTCGTGTTTAGCCGAAAACGCTTCTGATTTAATTTCAACCCGTTGGTTCTGGTCCGACCTTCTGGGGCAACAGAAAACGACTCCACACCAATGCTCCCTCTAATCTGTGGAGTCTTTTGAGCGAAAACTCTATTTTGTGAGCGACTGCCGTTGAAGTTGTGAGCGAGCGATTTGGCTGCTGCCTAAACTAGCTTGCTCTGGAGCCATCCTTCCTGAGCGAAGACAAAAAGGTGTGAGCCGGAGGCTAAAAATCTGTGGGCTAGCTCACACTAACTCAGCTTAGAGGGAACACTGCTCCACACCAATGTTCCCTCTAAGCTGTGGAGTCTTGTGAGCAAAAATTCTACTTTGTGAGCTACTGGCATTAGAGTTGTGAGTGAGCGATTTGGCTGCTGCATAAATCAGTTTGCTCTGGAGCCCTCCTTCCTCAGCTAAGACAAAAATGTGTGAGCTGGAGGCTAAAAAAACTGTGAGCTAGCTCACACTAACTCAGCTTAGAGGAAACACTGCTCCACACCATCGCAGATTATCAAACCGGCTTCCTTTTGGGTCCCCGATACACTTATCTGTGCACAAACTCCCGCCCACCCACACATATATACCATCTCATGAGTCATGGAACAAAAGTGGCTATTTTAATTCTGCATTTACATTTTCTGTGTTGCAGATATTTCACCACAGCCCACACTAGGGCTTTTCTACCATGACCTCAACCCCCCCCTCCATTTTTGGTATTTTTTGCTTAACATCTAGCCTGGAGAGGGATCTTATTAAGCTTGCCAAGTATTTTGCAACGTTTTGCTTGGTCCAAAAGGTATTATTCATTTGATGTTTCCAATTTGTCTTTTAAAAAATCAAATGGATGAATGCTTTGTTTTTCTGGCCCTTTTCATGTCCAAAATCACAATCTCTTGGGGCCGCCAGATCTTACTTGCTGCCGGTGGGGGAATTTTCGCTCCTCTTCGGAAGCGATGTCATCACGCCGCCAATGTTGCGCTGCGATGCTCTAGGTTTTGGGGAAAACTCTTATCGTTTTGAGGCCAGATTTACCATAGAGTTTTGCCCCAGACCTAGAGCATCACTGTGCAATGTCAGCAGCGTGATGATGTCATCTCTGGGTGACATCATCACACCATCTTTGGGGGCAGGGGTC